TGTAGGGCTGTACATCAGAGTCCTAAGTACACAACTGGGATAATAGCGAAGGCTAGTTTGGAAAAAAGCTGTTCTAGCACAGTTGTCTGTGGTAAACATAGCAGAGGTTCATTTGAAAATGTATTTATTTCAACACACACAGGAGAAGATACATAGATCCATATACAAGACAATTCAAAATAGCATACCTATGGACTGCAAAATAGCACTTCTAAGTAGGTTGGAAGAAAACAGATGCTTCTGCCTGCTGCAATGAAAAAACCACCCTCAATTTTATAGAAAGGACATATAAAAGAAGCCCAGGGACAAATTATTACTTGAAAGATAAGCAGGATGTTTTGAAGAATGGCTCAAATCATAGAAGTGTCTAAATTCCTTATCTTCCAAAAGACCTAGGGTGGGAGGGGGGACCTGGGGGGTGGCAGGGCAGGGGAGATTATCATGACCTAATTCCTTCTTTCCAGATGGATTTTTTTTTCCTTTTCTCCCGCTAGAACAATGCATAGTCACTACAAAGTGGAGCATTAAAGGAGGACAAGGATTTCTAGAAAACAAATAATCTGTGTGACTCCATATAATAAACTAAGGAAATAATGCAGCTGCTAGCTCATGACAAGTGGAAAATCTTCTCTAGTTACTAGCAATGTATATCATCTAGGGTTATTTTTCAGACCCACTACAGTTCACCATATGGTCTCACAAATGGATGCATCAGCATAAGGAGGGAGTGGGCGCAAGGGGAAAAGTGGGATCACTTCTTTCAAGTGATTTAAAACACTCATTAGAATTATAGGCTAGGATAAATAACAGAATTTCCCTGCCACCTTCTTTTCAACATTTCTATATGTTTTCACTTTTTGGCTCTAATCTTGCAAGCAGCAGTTGCTTTGGGCCAGACCAAAGGCTGACTCTGCACTGTATCTGCTAGGATAGTGGCCAATAGCCAGAACTATAGGGAAAGAGCATAAGAAATACAAGTTTAAAATGACCCTTCCTCCATCAGCTTCCCATAACTGGTAGTTTAGAAATCTTCATGCTGAGCTCATTAAAACTGTGAAAGAAACATATGAGAATTATTGCTCCTATAGTTAGTTAACTGCTATTTAGAAGAGTTTTAAATTAAAAATAAAAAAAAAAAAAAAGACCCCAACAAAAGCCAAACATGTATAAACATACATAAAATATAGATCTGATCAGAGAGAGGCATCACCATGTCACATAGCTGCAGTAATTGGTTGACACAGCGGTTAGGGATGTGGCGTAGTTGAGAATGGTGTTAGGTTAATGGTTGGACTAGGTGATCTTCAAGGTCTTTTCCAACCTTGATGATTCTGTGATTCCGTAATTATTGCAGTCCACAGATACATGCATAAGCTGTTATATGCACAAATACAGATGTATTTCACAAATCTGCAGTAATTACTAAAAAAAAAACCAAAAACCAACCCACAACCCAAAAAACACCAAACCAACAAAAAAAAAACCAAACCAAAACCTGCACTGAGAGAAAAGTAGTCATGGTAAAGCAGCCCCAAAGCAATGGAGAAGCCATGCTTCAGAGCCACTCAAGCTGTAGCAACTCAGCTGCTCTCCCAGAGGGACGACTCACCCACACCACCTAGGTCAAACTGACAGCACAGATATTAGAGAAACTTCTCTCCCATGCACATAGTTACTAAACAACTATCAGTCTAGCTGCTTATCCAGAAAGATTCAAAAGATTTATCATGTAAAAGAAAACCCCATCGTTCTCAGCTTTTAATAATTCTCTGAAAAGCATCTCTAATGATTGTGCCCACGCAGGCTTTATGGGAGATCTAACCACAGAGGACAGACCATACATCTTTGCCCTGGGAAAAGCTGTGGACCGTTTCTTCCTGGACCCACTGATCAACTAGAAGAGCATTTGGTTTGGAAGACAAGCAGCTAGGGAAGCAAAAGGAGGAGAGTATCACAAAGGTTTTCAAACCATAATTGCTGTGAAGATGTTGTGTTAGAAGTATCTGCCTGCAATGCAGCAGCTCTCGAGGCTCTTTCAGACACAGAAAGGCCTCCAGCATCACCAGGAACATGCAAAACCTTGTAACTATCCAACTTAATGGTAACTCTACCCTTGCCTTTCTCTGCCTCTTAAGAATTAATGTCCTCAGGCTTCTGTGGGTGTTCATCCTAAAGCCTTCCCCAGAAGAATGAATTTCACCTCACACATCAGTATGCTGGCATACATAAAAAGGAGCAGGCACATACAAAGAAAACAGATACTGCTATCTGTTATTCTAAGATACTAGCGAAAAAGAGAACAGGGAAACCCTGTAGAACTTGCCTTCACCAACTGCCCTTTGCTTTTCCCTTTTTTTTTTTTTTTTTTTTTCCCCTCAAGTACAAATAGTGCTTTAATGTTTTCCTTGAGACAAACTATTCTGATAAATGTTTATGGAGTTAAAAAGAAAATCCCTGCTACATGAGTAGCTGGATGTTTAGACAGTTTGATATAGGAAACATTATACAGTCTCTGCTGTAGCAGTTTGTAGGAAAGTTTGATGCAAGATAAGTTTCCTGTTCCAGTCATGTCACATTGTAGTTTATAGTAGTAGACAATGAGGTAGCGGCTCTGAGGGAAGCATCATGCCAAAATAGAGGGCATGTCATTGCAAAATAATACCATTCACAGAGCACAAGTTTGTAAGCTTTTGAGGATTAGTTTGTTGGAGAGGTTGTTTTGTTGTTTGTTTGTTTTTTGGGGTTTTTTTAATGAGAAAAAGAGTAAGAGCACAGACCTCAAATCCTCCCACTTACTTGTAGTTGAAGATTGATAATACCTCCCAGATCTTAATCCAGACCAGGAGTCCACTGTATGAGGTGCTCTACAAACAATGTGGTTCTTTACTTTTACAGGAGTTACCTTTTCCTCCTTACCTGGAAAAATCATCCACATGCAGTTATTTTGCAGCCTGAATCCCAAGCTCTGCAGGAGAGACCTAGTGTTTTCTCCACTGCTGCTGATGTTCCAGATCTTCTTCCAAGCTCTCTTCAGGGCCTGATTCAAGCAAGTACTGCCTAGTACTGCCGGTAAACATGAAAATGTTATTAAAACATCTCTCCCCTCACACCACCTCATAGTAACATGAAACATTTTCCCTTCTTCACTTTTTTCTGCAGTTTGATCAGTTTTAGCTTGGATGGATCTGTGGAAATGAGCAAGAGTAACAGCAGCCACTTACTGCTGACTGTTGCGCCGAGTAATGTTCATTCACCATCCAAACAGGAAACAAAACAACTACTTTATTTTGAAGTAGCATTTTATTTTCCACTAGCTTTGTATATGGAGCTTCAGCCTAGTTAACACAAACTGTGCACTGTAGGTAGCTGTAGGGACAGGAACGCTTGCATGCTATGCCTTTGCAATGCCACCGGCTCTAGAAAGCACCACTTTGCATACTTCTCAAAACACCAAACTAATGAAGTAGTATTTGCACAAGAACATTGCATTATAATGGCAAAAAACATGTGTAAACATTTTTAGCATTACTCAAATACAGCATCTACCTTGAAATGTTAGGCCACATCCCTACAAGGTAATGTATTATGTGAGAGCTCTCTGAACAGGGGCTTGCTGTGTTCAGAAGCTAAGGCCTGCTATGAAATCCCCCAGTGCCTTCTACAAAACTGCATCTTGGCCCTTGAGCCAAGTACTTGTTCTGCTTTGACCAACAGAGTCCAGGTAACTACACGCAAGTTGCACCAAGGGAAGAATTTGCCCAGATCACAGTTGATCTTCATCGTTCTGCCTCATGCAACATGCTCTTAGTGGTGTTCACTGACAATTCCAAGTATTCAAAACTTCCCAACTTTCCAAAGTGACCTCTGGTCACGATCACCTGTTTTAATAACAGGCATCAGACCTCCTCTGGGAGAAAGCACAGGTAATTCCTCTTGAAATTAAGATGGGTAGCAGGGAGCTCACAGCTGTTTAAACCAGCCAGCAGGAGCCAGGTTTTTAGAGTACTGAGAAATCTACATTCCGATTTTTAATTTAAAAGTTTAAATTTAAAAACTTTTCCCTTGAGCTTTTAATTGCTGGATCCTCTATTAAAGCATACTCCGTAAATCAAAACTTTTTGGGCTGTAGCTGTATCGACACTAGACTTAATTAGTCACAATGCTGAAAGCCCTTCACTGCTTGCTGTTTCATGGCCTCTTCAAGTACTTTCTAGCAAGATCAGCTTGCAAATCAGGTTAAATGTGGTCCAGACAAGGTCAAACAATCAATTCAAACTGTAGTCTTGTAGGGGTTTAGGTTGGTTTCAGGCTTTTTTCCTGTAAATTATTTTATATTTTAAATAGCTTGATTGAACCTCTCTATATGTATATTTAAACTTCCCTTAAAAGCTTGCCCTCTTAAAACAGACTTTTGGATTTCATTTCTCTCAGTGGCATAGCAGTTAAAGAGGGGTGAGCACACTCATTTGATGTTATCTGGGGAAGTAAGAACCGAGCATAATGAACACAGCCACACTGCTCCTCTGTTAATCCACTCCCAAGGTCTGCATATACAACAGCAGGAGAGCGTGCAATCTATCTCCTTGCAGCGTTCACCCCACTATGGAAGTAATAATGACTTTTGTGCTTTATGTACTCTCAGATCCTGAAAATTCATGGTTGGACATACTCATGCACACTGGTGTCTGGTCTGGGCTTCCCATCACAGCCAGGTTTCTGGCATAGCTTTAATTAACCATCAAACTACCTATTTTGAAAGCAAGATAAGGAGGAAGAGAGAAGGTAAGTATGAACTATTTTGTGAAACTTCATAAACCAAGAAAACAGGTCACAATTCTGTCCAATCAAGCCTATGATCTTCCTCAAGATGCAGAGAAACTGTTGAAAGCATAAATATTCAATGAATGCTAAGCCTGCCCAGTGAGGCAGGTTTATTCTCTCTGTAGGAGCCTAAGGAGGGTCTCACTACATTGCTTACATTTTGTTTCCATGTACAAGAATTCTGAGATGTATTTATTCCATTCATACAAAAAAACAATTTCATGTACTTAAAATAAAAAAAGGAGAAAGACGGCAGCACAGAAAGTTTTCTTCATTACAAAGTGTTTTTCCATCAGGCAATTATTTATAAGAACTTTTGTTAACACTGGAGTTTAGGCTCTGGAACAAAGTGGATATATTGTTTACTAGCTTTGCCAGTCAATCTTCTCTTACAAAACTTCTCCCTTCCCCCTCTCCTTTTCCAGCCAAGTCAGTCCATTGAATAGCTCAGGAGTTTTCTTTGTCACCAAGATCTCCTTTTCCACAAATTGTCCCTTGAATAATGCCATCTTCAATGTAGTGCCCTGAGGTATCCGTGCTCCTGCAGAGAACTGTCGAGGGGATCCGTGACGAGCGTCTGTCCTGGCTCTTATCCTCAGAGGAGCAGCAAATCATTCTTTTCATGGTACCCCACATCTCATCATCTTTGTATGAATAAATTATTGGATTCATGACAGAGTTCAACAGGGCCAGGAGAAGAAACCACCTTTTAACATTCTGAATCCCACAGTACGTGCAGTTCAGACCATCAAGCAGTAAGACGACCAGACCAGGGGTCCAGCAGACAACAAAGGCACCTAGAAATAAAGGAGATTTAAAAAAAAAAAAAAAAAAAAGACTTCAAACTGCTAGAGGTTTGGTTGTTGGGGTTTTTTTGCATCTTACAAGATTTTTGGGTTCATCAAAATTCTACACAAAAATTATAAAAGCAGGAGAGGACAAAATTCTAATGACAATAGCAAAATTATAACTACTACAGTTTCTCTGCCAAGCCCTGAGCACAAGGCAGGGCAGCTCTCAGAAGTCTGCAGGGAGCAAGAATACAGCTGCTAACAGCATCAGCTCAAATACAAGTGGAGAAAGGTCATCACAATAGTCATTTGTGCATGCTGATAAATAAACAAGAGCTCTGGAGCACTAACAAGCGGAGATCTGGTGCTCTGACCACAGACTTCCTCTCCATTTCTCTCATATGCTGGAGGAGAAGATACCAGGTGGCCCACTTCCACTGCTGCAATACGATCCAAAGAAGAGACACATCTTCTATCTCACTACAGCTGACTGCAGAGCTATGGGCACATCGCCCAATTCATAAAACAAGAGTCAGTCACATGGTTTAAACACGTCCTGGCTGGAAACCCTGAGCTACTCTAGGACACACATCACTCTGACATGAAAGCACTGCTGGCTCCCCAGCTGGAGCAGCAGCCCACTGCTCTCCACTTCTCCCTCCCAGGCTGTGCATGCAGGGTACTTGAGACCCAACAACTCAGATCCAGGAAACAAATTCAGTTGGAAATGGAAAGAGAGAAAAAAAAAAATAAATAGATGAGTTAGTGGAGATGAACCAAAGGATGTAGCAGTCAGTGCAAAGAAATGAAGCAAAGAATAGAATACAAATAAAATTTTTTTTAAAAGACAAGAAGGATGAGGAAGTAAGAGTGTACTGATGGGGGAACAACAAAACTCTGCAAGAGAGGCATTTCCCCAAAATATAGCAAGAAAGTGTAGGACAAGCCCAGAAGCAGCAGAGTTCTCCTCGTGTTTCAGCTGTAAGGCCGGAATGACAACAGTTCCTGTGAGAAAGAAGACACAAGGTGACAATAAAAGCTGAAAGAGAAAAAGTAGGACAACACACTCTTCTCCCACCAGCCCCTCAAAAAAAAAAAAAAAAAAAAAAAAAAAAAGGGAATAAGGGAGAAGAGATCTTACAGTGAAGACAACATGAAGAAGGCATAAAAACCACAGCTTAGAAGGAAGTTCAGTATTGCATTTGCATCTTTCCATGTTATTGCACATCCCCACCATAAACACAGGGGTATGGGCAGGACTGGTGGGGAGGGGGAACATCGTGACCAAATGACCACAAGCTTGGGAGGGGCCCGAACTGCCCCATCTGCCCTCCTGCCTCCCCCCCAGCACTGCAGCCTGTCATCCCTCGCCTTGAGCCCAAGGAAGGAATAGCCATATGCATGATAATACTAACTTAGCACAAGCCACAATTGCTGTCTGACATACAGAAATAGAAAATTACAACTCTGTGCAACAGTCACAGTTTGAACAACGTACTGAGGAAATTCCAAGCATTTGTAACAGTAGTTTCCTCTTTTTGGGGCTTAGAAAAAATGATCAGACAAATAAGGATGATAGCAGCTACATGCAAAAAAGCTCCCCTGGAGGTGTCTGTATTTGTTCCACAATTTTGGTGGGGTAAGCAAGTCCAGATTATTTTGGTAAAGTCTCTGGTTTTACCCTATCTGATCTTCTCAAGCAAGCAGTGGGAGGGCAGCCTGGCTCACGTCAGGACCCAGGCAGTGCTGGAGCCAGGACTTGGCAGTACCTCAGGCACCCCATCAACTGTGCTGTGCACAGCGGCTGGTCTCAGCAGCACTGGATGCTTCTCCCGATTCAGGACTTTAATGGACATGGTGCCCATCGGATGGGCAGGCCATAATGGTATATAAAGTTATTCCTCTGTTGCCCACTGGCATCAGGAGCTGCAAGCTGCTACCATAACATTTGTTTTCTCTGGTCAGTCTCTATACTACACATGGGTTTGGCTCAAATGTGCTGAGTAAGCAGCTGTGACACCAACTCTCTTATACAATCTACAATGGAGAAAACATGGTACGGATTTATTGCCCTGGGGTTCACCAGTAAATCCCATCTGTTCTAACAGGCACTGGAACCAGACCACCCAGACAACACTACTGCGGCTAGTTGAGTGTCTCTGTAAGTATTTGGACAGAGTGCTTTTGCTAGCCACCAACAGCCAGTGGTAAAGTCACCAACACGCCAGCTCCATGCAGAAATTAAGATGGTAACAAACCCTGCTTAGAAAAAGCACAGAAAACATTTGACCATGTGCACCACAAAGCATGTGAGGTCCAACTGTGCTTTCACAGAAATCACCAGGAGACAAAACAGACCCCAAAGCCACATTTAGCAAAAAACACAGAAATATCTCATTCAAAAAAACCCTCAAGCTCACAGACAAAATTAGTCCATGAACTCCCAGGATATCTCCCTGTCTACCTATACAGGCAAAACTCTATAAGGGTTGAGTGGCAACAGGGAAAATAAAGAGACATCTGCAGACATCTCTGCACATTTCCCCTGTCCCACGACTGAAGAGAATGATGGGGACAATGCAATGACTGTCAGAGTTACTGGGAAATGCTTTCATGGGGCTGTTGCTTTGACTCCATTAAAAATACATTTTTCTGTGTGCGGAGACAAGACAAGCGATTCACACCCTGCTCTTAGCACCACAGAGATGAAAGTGAGACATGGCTCAGACTTGCAGCCTTGCCTGGGTTTCGCTATTTTTACCACAGAGCTTTCAGAGGGAACCACGGTTAAACATAAATATATACCTTTGTCTTGGCCCTTTTGCAATTCTCTTGTTTGCAGACTTTTTATCCCATAGGAGCTCCTCTCCCTGACAATGTGGCACACTCCAAAAAGAATTTATTTTCTGGCACTCTCTAAAATTCACGAAAGTGACATAAAATACAGCCTGGCTGCACCATGAATCAGAACAGCAACTCTGAGTCTTCCCACCAGAATATAGGAGATCAGGTATCACAACGCCTCAATTCCACTAGCTTTAAACATGGATTATTCTGTAGATTACATCATCTCTGCTTGAAAATGAAATACTGTATACCTGGAAGCATTACTGATGCTTTGGCAGCATCACGTTGTAAAGCTTTGCACATCAAAGCTGTCCCTGAGCTTGCCAATGCTGAGAAGAAAAAGTCCAATAGCTTCCAGTTGCCTTTGCCACATGTGCACCCGAGTTAAAACAGCAAGTTACCAATTAAGCTATAAATTCACTAAAACTGAAAATCATCCACCCAAAGTTGCTATTTCAGCCGGAATCTCACTGCCAAGTTCAGATGAGCTACCACATACACACCACCTGAAAATCACATACCCACACACCTGCAGCCACCCTTCTTCAAAGTTACAGTCACAGGCTTAGCTAGGGCTATGCCACAAGGTCAGCCTAAGAGGATTTTAACCCCTTTTGCTAGGTGTCCCATCTTCCAGTTTCAACCAGATAACTTCCTGTAGTCTAACACGCCAAAGGGAAAGCCATTTCAGCTGCTCCTATCCTGTGACAGATCATTTTGAGGGTGCTGGTAGAAACAGGTTGATGACAGAGACCTGAGTCCCACCTTCTGTAAGGGGCCATCCAAGTCCAACAAAGAGTGGTGCAAAACGCCACCTGCAGCTGCGGTCACCATGAATCCATGAAGTCAAACCAAACCCCAGATTTTCTCAACTCTTAAGTGTAGGACCACAGGAGAACTTCACCCAGGGAGAACAGTGATGTTTTACTGGAGGGGCAGCCAGGCACAGCACCAGCCTCCCCAAAACCAGAGGTGGAAGCAGACGGGAGGAGCAGCATGACAGCAGCACCCAGATACACGCAGCCTCCTTCCACACAGCAGCGGGGCAGCAGGACTTTGTCCTGAACCTCCCATAAAACCAACAGAGCACATTAATAAGGACTCTGTTTCTCATCATACTTCATCCAGCCACAGAGCATCCTGGAATCATTTTTAGTTAAGGCCATATTAGGCACGTATTCCAAAGCATCTTCAGATGTTTGGAACAAGACATTAAAAAAAACTGCCTTGGGCAAAATCCACATGCTGCATACAGCTATCATTTGTTGCATCAGTAGGTGTAAGCACAGTTTTAGAAGTACCCATTTTGTCACTTAGTGACTCCTCTGGTAATCAGAAAGGCCAGAAAATGTGGTTGTTCAGTTTCTAATACATTTTGCACAGTGTGCTTGAATGACTTGTCCAGGAATGCACGTTTCAAACTGTTTTAAAAAATAAAATTCACATTCCTAGAAATAAACATTTATAAAAAGCCTCTCAGAGCCAAATTTGGTGAGTTGATACAAAGGAATGGGCCAAGATAGATCTCCTCCAACACAGGAGTTTGGGGTAGATCTTACACCCAGCAACACATACACTAATTCAGCTTCTTCGGAAGCAGGCTTTGTTTTGGTTTTGTTCCTGAGTGCCAAAGTAAATATACAAAATTGTGATATCTGAAGTAGCACTCAGGCTTTCTAAGTTAAATTTGCCTGGCCCAGCACTCACTATCATGAAACTATAGTTTGGGGGTAGCATTTAATTTGGTGGCTGAAAAGCCATATTCTGCAAGTAAGAGAAAGTTAATGCTGATCTTTAAATCAACCTCTATTCCTAAGGCCCCTCTCCCTAATAAAAGAAAGAATATGTTGAAAATAAAGTTTAGAGTGGTGTTTACTTCCACGCAGCAGCACAGCTGTGGTGCGCACTGAAGATCTGTCACAGGCAGATGAGGTATTAGCACATGGCAGGCACTGTCCTTCCAACTCCCACAGCCACCAGCTGGGTGCCCTCTCCCCAGCACGCAGACCACCACTCTGCTCTGACCTCCAGACAGGCACGGGTGGCAATGAGAGCTAACAGTTATTCCGACACTCACTCAGCACCCGCCAACTTTGGTTTATACAAAACTGAAGTAACATTAACTATATAAATAGACAAGTTAGACAAGGCTCTGCATGTTGATATATATGCATACAATTTCCCAGAAAGCAGCCTGCAGTTCTGCCTTGCATAGAAATGCTTAGAGAACTGTTTTTTAAGTGTTTCTCTTCTTCTATTTCCAATGCATCAGTTAACTACAGTCGACCCGATGCTTATGCCTTAGGGCAGAATTACATTTGGAACAATTCAAGAGTTTTCCTACAGGGATTTTTCCCCTTCCACGTGGATGGTTTAAGTCACTGTACGAAAGCTTCAGGGGGAGCAAAAGACTGAATCTTGTCCGTGTTAGTCAAGGTGGGGACAGGAACAACCATCACGTTGTCTCTCTATAGGTGCCACAAAACCCAGGGGGAAAAAGGAAGGACAACTGGGGAGAGATTTAGAAGGGAAAATGAGAGGGATTTAGAAGGCAAAGGCTGTGTCAGCAGACAAGCCAACTTCAGAAGACATAGGAGCATAAGTGAGAACCTTGTACTTGCTTGAACCATCAGTCCGCTTTCTTTTTCAAGGTCAGGCATGGTAAAGTTTAACTGATCTCAGCTTCTAAAGCATTTTAAGACATCATTCGGTAGACAAAGGTGTTGTGTACTACAGCACCAGATACCAGACTGTGCAAACAGCATCCATATAGGCCACACAGGAAGAAAGTGTCCTCAGCCTGAACTTCCTACCCTGCCAACTTCTACTTCCATGAAAAGTGACACTTTTCTCACAGAGCTCTCTAGTAATACCATGCTGCGGCATGACACAACTGTGTCCCAGGTATACATGGACACCAGCTTCCCCAAAAGCTCCACCTTTCTTGTGCTGGCTCATACAACACCGTAACAGTTGTCAGAGCAGTAAAGTAATATTTGTGCTTTTGGAGTCCCACACCACCTAAGCCAAGCTTCACAAGTGTCTCGGTGTCCCCCCCAGTTCCACCCACAGCAAGCTGCATGAGCCACGCCTGGCTTCCACAAAACACCTCACTCAGATTCAAGTCTTTCTGGGGAAAATGGACTGCTACAGCTAGTATTTTGTTCTAACTATCAATCATCAGCTTTGTGCATCCCAAATTTAATAAGAAGCTACATCACAACTAGCTGATGATGTGATCTGAGCCACACAAACATCAACAGTGTCTCTAGGGCAGGATCCAGGTCAAATCTCATGTTATGATCTCCAAGGCCATGCAGTATCATCATCTGAAAGTATTTTGCACTGTGCAATCTTCACAGAATGAAGGTGAATTCTCCTCTTGCAAAGTAAATATCTCGAGTCACAGACCCATCAGGCATCCTCTCCTTTCCCCAGGAGGAAGAAGTTAGGATGTTGAAGAAACAGCCAAGAGGAAGAAGTGCAAAAACTTCCCATCCAGCCACAGGATTCATGGCCTCATGCAGATATTAAAGACCGTTATTTCTACTCAGTAGCTGTGAATCTTCACAAGCCTTCCTCCAAAGTGGTTTTGTATTTCCCCTCCACCCACCACAACAAATTGTAGATAATTTGTGTTTTGTAACAAGCTGTCTACCAAATTGAGACACTTTTCTTCTTCACACTGACCAGTCCTCTACTTTGCATTTCTGCTTGGTGCAACACTTACGCATTATCTAAAGCAGATGGAAGACTAAAGGACTCCAGCACTTACAAGTTTGACGAGGGTTTGTTTTGTTTTGTTTTAGGGGGGTAGACTTTTTTTGTTTTGTTAAAAAAAACAAAAACAAAAACAAAACAAAAAAAACATACAAACCCATTGACTGGCACCACCAGTCTTACATGCCATGGTTTGTAGTCTCTTACCTAAAAGAGTCATGACAGTCTTCATAAGCTTCACAGGGGTTCTCCTACGGCTGATGGATCCACTAGTGTGTGACGATAAGACATTAGTTTTCCTCTGGACATACATGTAGATTCTTATGTAAACCACCACCATAATGAAGAAGACAACTAGGTTTAAAACGCTCCAGAACACCAGGTAACTTCTGCTGTAAATAGGTGCTAGGGATGAGCAGGCAGTAATGTCACAGAGGCAGTTCCAACCCAGGGTAGGAACAGCACCCATGAAAATAGCAATAGCCCAAATTGATACAATTAAAAAGGTGACTCTCTTCTTCGTGAGATTACTGTGGATCTTCATCCGCATTATCGACATGTGCCGCTCAACAGCTATGACGAGGAGATTCACCAGGGAAGCCGTCAGGCTGGTGTCCAGAAGGCCCTGACGCAAAAACCAGCGATTAACAGTTAATGTTTTAGACACTGGGCCAGTGTTGAACATCAAGAAGACATAGGCAATTCCAGCAAAAAAGTCTGCAGCAGCTAAATTGGCCAGGAGATAGTAAAAGGGAAAATGAAACCTCTTGTTCTTGACCACAGCTGCTATCACCAGTGAATTTGAAATGAAAATGAAGAGGCAGAAAAATGTTCCAAAACACAGAACAACAATAAGTTTTGGCCCTGTCCACTCATCTACTGTGTCAGTGTTTGTCTTGTTATAAAAAAAGTCCATGCGCTTATCATAGTAGCATTCGTTCATCCTGGATTAAAGCCCCTGCATCCTAGGAAGGGTGGAAGGGAAAAAAAAGGAAGAAGGATTAAAAAAAAATATCAACTATTGGTCCTTGCTTCAATCACCATACCTAACATCTTTTTGCTAGGGGGACGGGGGGGGGGAAACGACACAGGACAGGGACATGAGAGAGTATATACTTGAAGGCCTTAACTAAAAATTCATACTGTACACTGAGTTAACAGAGAAGGAGACATTCTGTCCACTGGAGGACTGTAGTGCATGATGCTTTGAAGAATCAGGATTTGTCAAAAGACTTACCCACTTACAAAACCCCAGCACAGTCCTTTTGCACTAGCAGTCATACCATACAGGCCACACAGTGGAAGTTAAGAGGTTAAGCATAACTTTCTGGAGGTCACAAAGAAAATATGAGCAACAGCCAAGCCATTCTTGCTGTGAAATCCCATGTTAGAGCCACAGCCATCATTATTTCCACTTCTCAATGTATTCAGTCAGGACAGAGAAGCACAAATCATAACTCTTCCGTTATACTGACTAAGCAATAAAAGGCCTAGTACCAGAAAAATATGTTTTGGTTTTTCAATTATATTTTAATAAATATAATGTATACAAGATGCTACGGGCATATACATTCTGAGCACATCTTATTCACTGCTACAGGATTTAAGTAAACACATAGAATATATTTTTCCCTTTTCAGCACATTTGACTACTGTAAAGCCAGAGATTATTTAATGGGCTGTCAACCTAGAGCCCTGTGAGCACCACACAGACTAATTATCTTCAAAACCAAAACACAGTTCCCTACCCAACCACAGGATAAAGCAAGCCCCAGCAACAGCAGTAGGGCTGAGTTTTTTTTTTCTTATACCCACTCAGCACTATTTTGGACACAGAGCTATTAAACATGATGGAAGGGGGAGTCTGCGTTCCAGATTACATCACATTTCAGCTACTCTGGTGAGGTCAATGTCAGCTGCCTTGGCAATTTTACTGCCTTTATTAACGAACCAAACTGAACTCGAACTAATTTACATAGGCAGTTCTGACAGCAATTACTCATGGTAACCAGACCCTGCGCAGGGTCTCACAGCCTAGTAGGAAGAGTTTGTGTCTGATCATCATTAGCCCTCACACGCACTGTCCGTATCTGAATAAGGGTTTTAACAATTACTTCATTAATAGATATTGTATAATTTTAGCAAAACCTAGGAGCCCAGCCTTGGCACAAGATCTTAATCACATCAGATATTATACAGAGCGGCAAACCTCTGCTTGACTCAGGATATAAAAGAGGAAGTATCGGGATACAAAGCTGCAGGAGAGGCAGCAACACTAATAGCTCTTGTAAACCTCCCTGCGAGCCTCAGGCTGCCATGAGTTTCAGAGTAATAGACTGAGTGGGACAGAAAAGGAAAAAAAAACACCCTAGAAGTAGTGGTTACAGGCAGAAAGATATAAAAAAAAGCATAAGCTTTTCACCTCTGCAGCTAAAATTGATCACAGATAAAGATCAGGTTCACTTAGTCTATTATTATCCTGTGGTTACTTAACAGTTATATCTCATCTTTCCAGAGACTGGGAAGCAAATTAAGCAATCCCCAGCAGGCTGGCTAACAAGTCACATTTGTATTAAAGGTTCCTTCTGAGTTTTAAGATAAAAAGGCTCATCTTCTGTCATTTAAGTTATGCTACTTGTGTTATTTCTCTCATGCAGTATTTGTATTATATAATTTCAAATCAACCTGCACTATTCCGTGATTAGTATTTTCAAAGTGAACTTGTTTTTTAGTATTTCTTTTTTCTGAACTAGCTCCTTGGCCTTTTTTTCCCCTCAGTTCCCACCTACATCTAGTAGTCAACATGAAAGCAAGCCACTTGACATTGTCGTCCATTTTATTAACATGAAGAACCTACACAGCCACTTCTTTTAGAAAATATTACTTAAAGCATCAAATTCATGTACACAGTCAGAACTAAGAACAACTACTTAAGGACAAGAAGTGGAAGGAAACAAGTAAACCATCCCTTGTGCTAAAGCATTACAGAACATCCATTCATCTAAAAATAAAAAAGCCTCAACAACTCAGATCAACTGTAAGGAGTCAGCCGGAATTCAATGCCTACTGCTCTCTGTTCAGGGCAATATGGTGGAGTTGGGCAGTCAGTACATTCCCTATCCTCACCTAGGAAGTATTCAAAACTCAAATTAAGTCTGTAAGTGACCAAAAGTCCCCGAGGAGCTGCAGGCAACAGCTACTCAAGCAGCTGAGTGGTGGGAACCCTCCCCATCTGAGACGCCTCTGTGTTTATCCACCAAAGCAGCAAAGGACTTGCTGAGCTTGACATGAAGCTTTTACAGAAGAGCCCAAATGCCTGCAAATAGAAGCAGCGTTTTGGGCAAGAATGGCAGGGAAAAAAAATAAAATCTGTGAAAATTATAGGGAAGGTTTTCTGAACATGCTGTATCTTACTGTGTAATCATCTCAACAGATGAATCTCTCTTACTTGCAGTGACAGAACAGTATCTGCAGATACTTTTTGCATCTCATCTGGAGAACAAGGTTAAAAATCCAAAATATCAACTATGAACTTATGCTAAATAGCTTATTGAGATCCCATCATTTGAAGTAGTACCTGAAAAAAAATAAATCACACATCTGTAATTCTCCACCAAAATAATCACACTACAAACACTCACTGTCACACGGCAGAGCTCAAATGATTTTGAGAGATGTCTTCAGGTGTTGAGATAAGGCAGGAGGGAGTAGAAGAGCATCCAGCTGAGGTCTCAGGGTCACAGGACTGACTCTGGAGGTGTTCGGATGGAAGCTGCATCAAAGCAGTAGCTGAACAGAAGCTAGTTTGCATCCCAGTCCCTCAGAGCCAAGACATTGCACTTAGCTATCAGCCTATATGTACAAAAAGCAGTTGTCACTCCAGGGTCCTTCCAGACAGACAGTGGTTGATTTCACACCTTCATTTTAAGTCCTCCCAGCAGAACAAGCCTGACTTCAGGGGAACTATGCAGCTGTGACAGAGCTGTGCAGCTGTATCCTCAGTAGGCCTGCCCCAGGACACACCAGGCACCAGAGATGTGCAATAGGATATCCCATACTTCCTGGCATGTCACAGTTTAACACATTGCAGGACTTTATTCTCCAGGTCTTCTCTTCTGCAGTCAGAGCGGAGATGTTTATCTTAATCAGGGCAGGTTTAAACTTAAAAAGAAAAAAAACATCCTTAAATATTACATATTTCAGGTTTGTTTATTAAGTACACACAAATTTGAAGATTCAGGCAAAATATTGTTTGGAAAAGTTTTAAAAATAATAGAAACTGAAATAGAAAAACAGCTAAACTGGTCAGCCCAGCCTTATGAAGACAACAGAGAATCTTCTAGAGTCTGAAGCAGCAAGATCCCCAGTTCTGCTACTCACTTCATGAAGAATTGCCTTCTTGTACTTTGAAAGTGGGTCTCACAAGCTTGCTACTTCTCATTTTTTATGGGAAAGGACAGCAAACAATCTCCACTCATGTCTTCTATGCCACTCTATTTTATAGCCCTCCATGTAGACCTCCAAAAGCTTGACGGCAATAACTACGTATTGCATATTCTACAGACAGGTTGAACTATTAGCTTGCCACAAGTCACTCGCAAGCAAATAATAAAAATTTTGCAAGTGCCAAAAGCATACACTTGTCAAAAACGTTCTTTTCCTTATTTCAATCTATTTAATTATTTCAGTTCAACCCATAGTGGCTACAAAGATCAGAAACCGATGGGCTGTGAAGTGTGTTTCCTCTACCACTCCGAGTAAACATAAGCTTTGAGTGGGAGAAATCATCTGTTCCAAAAATCTCAGCGGATTTGGCTTAGTCAAACTGCTTTCAAATGCAAAAGCACACATTAAGAATTCTTCACAAACCAGCACATCTTGAGCTGTTTGTCTTAACGACAGCTTGTATGTTTGAATTGAGTTTGAATTCCTCTATATAAATGCAACTTGTATCAAGTCAGAGTATGTTCTTCACCATTCTTAAAATAAAAATCAAGAATTTGCATGAGTATATAGAAATAGATTACACCAGCAATCTAAATAAAGAGTTGGTGAAATAAGACATCACCTACATAATGTTTTGGACAAAAGCTTCAGCTAGTTGCAAGTTAACATGCTTTAATAGTTGTCAATCAGAATCTAGTTTGCTTCAAGAAAGTTACTAAAAATCCATATATTTATAATAAAATTTAATATCAGTTATTTAAATAAAGGATTTTGCTGATTCAAACTGTGATTAAAAATCACTTTTTAAGTCACTTTGATTCAAAATTAAATTTGGCCTGTAAATCAGCTCTAAGTTGAGTTACTCATTATTAATGCAAACATTTCTGAAGGAAAACTCAAATAGTATTTTAATGAGAAGGTCATTATAAAATTTAGCTTGCAAGCCATAATGCGATTCATGGCACACCCCAGTGGTTTTCTGCCTCCTTCCTGTCCATTAAAACTCAGATTATTTCAATACACTGGCCACAGCCTTATCGAACAGTTGGTGTCAGTTTGGGGGATTTTGATGGCTTCTACCCTGCTCCTGTGTAAATGCGACAGGAGGGAGAGCACAAGCGCAGGCTGGCACACTGAGCCACCGTGAGAGGATTCAAGCCGAGTTTGCAGCTGGACTGGGAAGTCCACAGAGCAGGACTGACCCCACAGGAGGATGGCAATGGTGAAGCCCTATAGCAGGACTGGAAGTTAGCTTGCATAAGAGGCAAGAGAAGCTGGCCCAGGCAGAACTCCAGCCCGCTTTACTGCCACTTGTTCTGAACTGGTACAGGGATTTCTGTGCAGAAATTCAGGGCGGTCAGCATCCAAAATGTTACACCCTGAAACAGAAGGAGAGACAGCAAAGCCAGTACAGGCCGGGCAGACCCGTGGGACAGCACACGGGAGTGAGCAGCACCCAGGCTCAGCCTGCAAACCGGGCAGGCTGCCAGCCTATTGCCAGAGCACTTCATCTCCCTGCCTCCCCTTGTCCATTAGCAAAGACAAGGTATTAAGTACAGATCTCTAAGATATTTTGAAACATTACAGAAGTTGCTCTTCAGAAAGCAGAGTTTATCATGCTGACTTGTCACAGATATTGCTGGCAGAGCAAGGAGGCAAGTCACTTAAAATACTCTCTGCGTTCAGACTGTTACTACAGAGAAATACTAAGCAGCAGCAATTGCCTATCTGCACATACTGCTTAGGCTTTTTAAACTTACCCTACAAGCAGCTGATGGCCCTTGATACAGTACCACAAAAGGAGTGCCTATAGGCTTGCAGACTACGTAGCCCTTGGCAAGAGGTCCCTGCATCAGTGCTCTTGCTTGCCTGCACTGTATGCCACAGTCAGATGTGAACACCCTCCATCCCTTCCTCTTCTGGATAAGCAACTGATGCTGCTTTTATTTTTCTAGTTAACAAAAATGTCTTTCTCACCTCACTCCCAGAGGAAGCAGAAGAGAGCCAGGGCACTGAGCAGCCAAGCTATACATACAAGTAGTACCAGTTCAGAAAGGGAATCTGTTCCTTGTTCCCCTCCACACCCTGCGTACATGCATGGCCACGGAGGAAAACACAACCAAATGATTGCACAGTAACCCAAGAAACCCTTCCAGGTTACCTCAGCTTAGAAAGAAATACCAGTGCAGAAAAGGGTGTGTAACACAGCAGAGGCCAAAAATGTTAATATGTAACTGTAAGAAGGAGTTTTGCAAGGTAAGTACTCTAGTTCCCTTTTAATTGTCTTTAATTAATATTCTAAGAAAAAACAATTTAGAGAAACAAAATGAAAGAAAGCACATAAAGAACAAAAAATTATGCCCAAATATCTCAATCTAAACTAAAGCTTTTTCATCTGGTACTATCAGAGGATGCAACGGAAGCCAATATTCCTTTAACAGGTTTTACAAAGACAAAATATCTCAGAAGTAGCCATATTACATTTTATTTATTATGGAAATACTGTGGGCACTGCCTGTTCCATGAACAGCATGCTACACGGTCCACTTCAAGAAACTGAGAATACACTTTTTAAAGGCCATCTTTTAAATTCAGCTTTACAAATTGGAAAAAAAGTTATTATTAAAAAACTGTAAGGCTCAATAAGTAAGTTTTTAATTCAGAGAACTTATTTATTACCAAGGGAATCTACTTCTGGTTGTGTTTGTTTATATTTTTTCTTTGTAACTCAAGTATCCCCAATTTCAGATAACTGGCTGAACTCAAATTGAGCACACACAAGCAGCATTATCCCATTATCTTGGTCTTCAATGCCTTTTAGAATAAGGAGAGCAGAGTGCCACATTATTTCCACTTCAAGCCTGCTTCATCTACATAATGTGAAGTTGATGCAAGTACAGCAACACTGATGCCTCCACCGTGGTTCTGGTCATTTCCAGTAACAATCCATTTTAATGGCATAATCTTTTGGAAGGAAAAGGGAAGGTAGTGGGGTGAAGGGAATCAAGATGATTCTTTGGCAACCTTTGCATATCAGCGGTAGAAACATCTAAGATTTTATTATTTATCATGTATCCTGCATAAAATACCAAGGCTATATGGTACAAACAAAGGGTCTTAAAAGTATTAAACCTACCAAAAATGTAGAACCTCAAGACTAAATATTTAAGTTGCAGAGAGAGGAAGTAGTACCGCCAGCCACAGACCACAGCACTCAGTACACACAGACTGATAAGAGGCTTAAAAATCACTGTCGGGGCACAGAAGTATCACCCTGTACATGTAGGCGACAGTGCTTTTCCTCTGCGAGCCGCTGCAGACTGGCACGAGTAGTTGAACTGTGAAGCACTGGGATACAGGGGCACCTGCACCAAGGTATTACAAAGCTCAGGCTCCAGCTCCTGAAATCCCTTTAGTATAAAGCTGCTCTACCCCACTAAACTGCTTTTTAAAGCTCTGATCCGCTGCAGAAAGTTGTTAGGGACAGATACCAAGTAACTCACTAGTTACCACAAGCTCAGACTGCAGACTTTGGTAATTTAAGACTTTCTGAAATTACGGTTTACTAAATCTATATATGGACTTCAAACTAAAAACTTCACTGCAAAGCTTTCATTTAGTCTCCTTTAAGTGTGGTTCTAGAAGGAGCTGGCAGGTCATCCTATAATGCGGGCACAGACACAGCATTTAAAGTATTTAAAAGCCATTCAAACAGCCTGTACACTGTGAAACATGCCTAGAAGAAAATACCTGTTCTGCTTCTAAATGAAGTTTTCCATTTCTGCAGAACTTCCAGATCTGCTCATCAATCACTATCAGCTCCATTTTAAGGTTCAACAAATCAGCTTTCTTTCACAAAGTCTACAGAATCTAAATACAGACAATTTCAGCACAGGCACAACCAAGTGAACTTTTATTGTTTATTTTCAGCACATAGCTGATGAGTACCTGAATCATGCGACTTCTGATTAAAACAAGCCACCTGACTGTATCTGCTCCGTTAACAGATGCAGAGCCCTGGTTTGCAAGCAAACATTTCAGGGGAACTGTTAGAAATTGTGGCCTCCCAGAAATATTTGCTAGAGACATGGAAACAGACCTAATGGCTTAAAAGTAGAATCCGGGTATGTGAATCTTTAAGACTGATACCCAAGAAGAATACGTTCTCTACAATGTCAAACCTTATATTTCAAAGATGTTATTTCATTATCTGATAGCATAAAGACTACCCTGGATGATGTTCTGAAATGGTTAACAGTCATAGCACAGGAGGATAAAGATACAGTCAGTCCAACTTTTCTGAAACTGTAGTCTGGCATTCTGAAAAAAGCCAAATACATCTTTCAGCTTTCCTTACTGATAAGCACTGCTGCTTCTTTATTGATTGTGCAAATGTTTTAATTTCACTTCATTTTCAGTACACAGATAAACTTTAGTGAAATCAGATTTTTCACCATATAACTGGCTTGAGTTGCGCTTCCTGCTACACCTCTTCAAAGACTGTAAGAGCATTCAAGAAACCACATACTCTGCACAGCTTAAAGAACAAAGCTGCAGCGATGCACCTTACCAACCTGTAACAAGAAATGCTTTTTTCTAGATTTGTATCACAGAAAGGAGAACCGACCAACCTACCTGTCCTCTGGAAACACATAGGTTACAAAAGTGCATTTTTTTCCTTAAGGCAAAAAAAAAAACTAATCAAAAGATAGAACGCAAAACAAGATAAATGCATTTTCCAGTGTATTGCATAGATTCAGGTGATACCTTATGAAAAACCTTCACAAGAACCTGTGCCAGCCCCCGCTGTGGTACACACTTACTAGCGGTGCCTCAGCAGGACGCGGTGCGTGCGCAGGGATCCAGAGCGGTGCAGGCGAAGTCCCGAGCACACAGGCACTCCCACGCGTGCAGGTCGGCAGTGCCCACGGCTCGGTACGTGCCTTATGCACCCACAGACGCCGAGACGCGCGCGGGACGG